CTGCAGTGTGCTGCAGAGGTGAAGGAGAAGCAGGGTGCTCAGCTGCAGTTAGGAACCCTGAGGGCTCTGCTCAGCCTGCTCAAAGCAGGATGGGCTCTCCCTTGAACTCCAAGGAGCAACCTGCACCTTTAGCACTTGGGGATCAGAGGCTGTGAGGAGTGGGTATGTGTGTGTGGACGGACAGTTCTAGAGGAGAAAGATTGGAAGTTAGCAGGAGAAACTATCTGGCGTTGGCAGCCTAGGTCTGGGGACAGGTCATGGTGGGGAGGGGCAGCTGTGGCCACAATAGCAGATGTGGGGCTACACGTGGGGGGGGGGTATAGAATAGGAGGGAAGAATCGAGAAACACCCCAGGATCCCAGGTGACTTGGTCCTGTTACCCGTTCAATCCACATCTAGAAGGGGCCTATGGCTTGGGGTCAGAGCCAGGATTGATGATAAAGGGCATCTCCCTGCGCTGGTTTATGCTTCTGGGAAGCAGACAAGCTCCAGGCACTTCGGCTCCATCTGCTTCTCCCCAGAGCAGAGGAACTGCCCCCAAGATCTACTCATGCAACCATCCGTTACTCTCAGAAGCAGAGCTGTGGCTGCCAGGTGAAGAGAACAGCTTTGCTACAGCCATCTGAACAAAGCAATGCCCAAAGGCTAGGACCAGGACCTACATGGGGCCCCAGGAGAACACTAAGCCTGGACAGGGAAGAAAAAGTTCTGAGCATGTGAGAAAAGAAATGTATTCCTCAGTGCTAACCTTGAGGAAGGCAGGAGGCCTTGCAAATGGAAGACTCTATGCTAGTTTCTCCACATGCACACTCACCTTCAGACCCCCACACCTTGCCACAGCCCGTCCTTCAGCTTGTGACTCTACAAGCATCCTCCAGCAAACTGCTGTGCCCAGGGGAAGGCTAGAGGTGAGCTTTGTCCTCCTCTTCCTACTAGGCCTCCAGGGAAGCCCTGGGAAGAGTGGCTCTGGGCGTGGAGCCTCTGACTAGGTGAGCCTGCACATATCACCTGCCTCCTCTGGGCATCAGTTCTTTCAGGAAAAATCACCGTAACTCCTCCACCCACCCAGACCCCCCAGTGCATTGAAGAAGTAAGTAATTTCTTCTCTTCCCCTATTCAAAGCATCCCAGAACACATTCTCAAGAGTAAATCCCATTCTTACCACCCCCTTAAAACCAACATCAACCAATTGGCTTAGAAATGGATGACTTCCGGACTTCCCCTGTTCTGTTTGACCTGAGCCAGAGGGCCTAACTGTTGTCATGACAACACCTCCCATCAGTCCAGACACCTTTTTGAAGAAGTGGGACCAGGAATCCCAGCCACCTGGGTTCCTTTACATCCTGATCTTGGGTTGCCTTAGCTGCTCCACTCTGTCCCTTTGCCCAGAGGGTTGAAGAAAGGAAAAGTGAATGTGTGGGGAGTCAACAGACTGATTTTCCTTTGAGATCCTTAGGCCCAGGGCTGATGAGGCAGAAGAGTGTGGTTTGGGATGCTGTTATGTAGTTAAATGGCCTGGGACATTTTCAAGGTCTGACCACCTTCATCTGCAGCCCCTTCCCCATCACTATAGGTAGGGAAGAGCAATGAGAGGGTCTCTTCCATTCACAAATGGGGAAACTGGGTTCGAGAGGAGGTCACAGAGCTTACAACTTCCAGACAGGGAACTCAGGACCACAACCTCTCACCCTGCCCCAGGCCCAGGTCTGGTGACATTTCCTCTCAAAGCCAAACCACCTGATGTGGGCCAAGGGCCAGGGTCCAAAGACATCTGATTCTTGGGATTGGCCCATTTCCCCCTGGGCACTCACCCTTCAGCCTTCCAAGTTTCCAGGGTTCCCCAGTGGGAACCTAGTTATTTGGCAGCTTCCAAAACAAGGGAAGGGGCACGGAGCCTGCCTAGACCATCTGGGTCCCAGCTGATTTCTGAGAAGGGAGTGATCGAATTTCAGCTCTTCTCTTTTATTCTAGAAAGGCTCTTATTTGGAGCTGCCTCACCCCCTTCCCTCCCAGAAATTGGATCTTGGCAGCTTCTTGGGTCTGGGATCATACCAAGGAGTGTGTAACCTTTGACCCTCAGCCTCTCAAGTAGGGAACAAATACTCTGTTTTTAGCCACCATCCTGAGGCATCGAGGCAGCCATTCTTCTCCTCACAGGCCACCCTGCTCTCCAGTGAAGGCCAGTCCTGACAACCTGGAACACCTTCATGGGTTTGGAGACACTGAGTCAGCTCTACTGTCCCCTGGTCCCCCAATGGGTCAGTCTACCCTCTACGCCAACTCTCATCACCTTCACACAAAAGAGAGATTTCACCTGAAAGCACCAGATCCCACCCTCTCCCCTCCCCACCGCCCTGTGATGCCAAGCACTGTCCCCCCAGAACCTACGCACACGCTCCACCTCCACTTTGGTCCTCATAGCCCTAAACAGTCCAGCATGTTTGCAAGACTTTCCACGCTCTCCCCGCAGCAGAGATCTTAGCCCCTCAGCCTTTCTGTAGGGTCAGCAGGGCAGGTCAGTGGCCCATGTCCAGGGACACTTGCCTTGGTCAGACCCCTCCTGACCTGCTGTCTCCCCTTCCTCAGTTGGGCCTCCCAGACGAAGCCAGTGACTTAGGAACACAAGCAGAACCTGCCTCCCATCACTAACTCAAGAGATGGCTCTAATAAAGCCCTTGGTGCTTTTGACCCTGCATTTTCCCTACTGGGAAGTGGAGTAGGGGGGTGTTTTCTCCTTATCTCCAAGGTTCCTGAGAGGCTGCAGCACCAGCATGCTTTGGGAATGACAACTGCTGAACAGGAGTAAGGGACCCCAGCTCAGCTTCC